GTCTATCCCTCTCCTTCAAACTACGTCAACACTAGTGCCCAACTGGTGCCGGCAGAGCAGAAAAGACAGCAGAGAACAGGTCTCAGTACATATGTAAGGATGATGTAGAAGAGACTCTATATGAATAGAATAGGCTATGTAGAATGGACTTTCTACGACCAATCACCCAGGTACTATCACCCAGGTGATAGTAGGTACCACACTGTGCTGTGTTATCTATCACCAGACACAGTATAATTGAAACTGGAGCAGTTTAATCTTCAAATATCATTCTAACAAAGACCAGAATGGAGAGCAATATGGCTTTAAAAAGATCATAGAAAGTTTTTCTCCAAAATAAATGCTACCTTATTCCTGAAGTCTCTTTGACTCTTATACCTGAAGAATCTTTCTCTAACTCCTTTAAACCTCCAAGATGGCCTCTGGTGGTTCAAGGAGAAGCTGACCTCTTTTGGCAAGGACTATAATTCCTGGCAGCCAAGACATGAACTAGACATGGCACTGCCATTGTAAGTCACTGGTCTACTTCACTGCCAGAACACAGGAATCTCCCCAACAAAATAAAGCTAAGAACATGGAACAAGAGACTGGATGAATGCTGCCCCTTCAAATCCTAATAACCACATCAGACCAGATTTTAAGAAGGGAGAATGATCACATTTTTATGACTAAGAGGAGTGGTTTGGAAAACAAGGAAAGTCTAAATAAACTAAATAAACTAAACTAGCTTGAACTCGTTCATTCTTTCAACAACTATTTGAGTGCCTACTTTGTGCCAGGCCTTCTGTAGGCCTGGGGAAATGGCAATAAACAAGACCAATCCCCTACAAAGCTTACCTTCTAGCCCAAGTAACAACAGAAAAAAGTGAACAAATATGTAGGGAAGTAGGGATAAGGCCTGGGTCAGAGCCCTCTTATAGAGAAAGCAAAGTAAAGGAGAGAGTAGTACAAGAACAAAGCAAGGGCCAGATTGTGAAGGACTCTGCAGGACTGCATTAAAAGTTTAATGGCCTTGGGACTTCCCTGGTGGTCCAGGGGTTAAGACTCTGCACCTCCAGTGCAGGGGGCATGGGTTGGATCCCTGGTTGGGGAACTAAGATCCCGCATGCCTCACCGTGCAGCCAAAAGTTAAAAAAAAAAAAAAAAAATTAATGGTCTTTAAGTGAAAGTAGAAATATCAGAGAATTAAATGGGTAACACGATCTGGGATATTTTTTAAAGATGACTCTGTCTGCTACATGGAGAACGGACGAAATTAGAAGCAGGGATACCAGTTAAGGAGATATTACAAAAGCCTAGGCCAGAACCAACCAAAGTGTGAGCTAGTTTGGCAGAAGTTTCGATGATAAACCAAGCAGTTAGACAAACTGGGTAAGAGCTACCGGACTCATTTAAAAAGAGGATAACAGTTCCACTTTCTTAATTAATTTGACCAGAAGACAAATATATCTCAATTTAATTTAAAAACAAGACTTCACTAAAACTAAGACTATCTTGTGTACTTTTTTTTTTTTTGTAGTACACGGGCCTGCGCCACCAGGGAAGCCCCTCTCTTGTGTACTTTTAATGCAGCTACAGGATTTAGATAAAAGGTTAATAAGGCTCATTGCTCATATTATAACAAGGACATCTGTTAAGCATACTAATGCAAATCTAGTTAAATGCAAATTCTGGCCAATGAAATTGACCGTGGAAAGTTATAACCTGAAGAACTAAGTTTCATGTGGTTGAATTTTTAAAAATTTTTAATTTTTTGTTTTGTTTAAAGAATGGTAATTAACTTTTAATTTGGCCTGAATAGTATTCAATATGTTCAATAATTAAGGTAAGGTGAAGAAGATACTTAAAATACTTTGGCTTTCTCTACAAATAAACACCTTAAAATTTATAGACAGCCTAACTTTTCTGATCTAAGCAGTCAATAGACATTAAGCAACCAGTTAGCATTAAAGCCTGGCTGGCTCAGAATCCAAATTCTGGATGGGTCAAGAAAAGATCCATTTCACCTCCAGAGTACAGTATAGGTTAAGCCAACAGAATGTTGAAACTGCTCACAACTGTTTGGGAGCCTCAGTGAATGAAGCTGCTGCTGTGTGGTTCAGGGATGGACACTAACAGCAATAAAATGTACTGAAGTGATTGAGAAAGAACAGGCTTTACAACAACTCCAGAGACGATGCTCCTTTTTCTTTTTGTTTCCTATTTCCCTTAGTTAACCATCTTAAAACTACAAATGAATTATTATGACTTCTTCCTTAAAAAGTGGTTTTCCTGGGCTTCCCTGGTGGCACAGTGGTTAAGAATCTGCCTGCCAATGCAAGGTAAACGGGTTTGAGCCCTGGTCTGGGAAGATCCCACATGCCGTGGAGCAACTAAGCCCATGCGCCACAACTACTGAGCCTGCGCTCTAGAGCCCGTGAGCCACA